GTGTTAAAGAGCCACAGTGATTACACTATCAACGAGATGACTTAACCTTAAATAATTTAAAATTTGCAACAAATCATAAACATATATATACTACAGGTAAATCTTCGCTTTCATTCTTTTATTTGATGACAATTTTTGTTCACTTCATGGAGTTAGATTTCTACTTCCAACATGTAAAACGAGAAAAAGTGACATTAGAGTCGAAATATTTAAAAACAATTCGGGAACTTTTATTTCAGTCAAATTTGAAATTGAATTTAAATAAGATAAGAGCGTTTAAGCTTGTTAATACATCACGAATTCTAACAAACCAAACGCCACTTTACTCGTATTTAATCAATGTAGACGACACAAGTTACTAATATCACGCTATTTGCGGGAGGTGTATGCTTTCGGGCGACGGTGAGGAGGTAATATGACACGAGTAGTTCATTTTTTTTACATGCAGGACCAAGAAAGAATTCTATAATATTGGTGATATGATTACTGTGCACTGTCTGCATCGTGTCGTGAATTTTTGCCCCACCGATCTTCCATACAATCCATGCTTTGTCCTTGTGAGTCGTTGAGTACGAATCCCAGTTTCCCATACATACGATAGGCTATTGATTAGCTAGGTAGAGTAGATCTACGGTAGGTGTAATTGTTATAGGTACACAACTGATACCCGTGGATCTGGATTATTGGTTAAAACAATGTCCCACTTAATGTATGATACAAAGGCTATCATGACGAGGGTCTACAGGTACAATAGTTGTCAGGCATTAGCAAAATAAGTAACCGACGGATAAGAAAAAAAAAAGACGCGATATTATTTTGAAAAACTCCTTAAATTGACCTGTAAACAATTTCACAAACTTTTAATTATGTAAGCTTCAACTATTCAGATAGCTACATAGTATGCTAACTCCTCCTTTATATTGATGTCAATGGCACTAGGACATTTTTTTGTTTTGTAAATTGAGGGTATAAAAACGAAATTCACACCTGAGTTAAATTTTGAGTGATTTGCCTCTCCCCTTAACTTTTTTTCTCTCTATGACCAGGGACGTATAATCTGTATTATACGTCCCTGCTATGACATTTCAATTTTTATTGACAATAATACCTTCAACAATTCAACACATAATAAGAGAGCCCAATCACTTAATACATACGGTATATACTACTATATAAAAGGAATACAAACACATGCTCTTTTTTCCTCTTTCTTCTTTACTGAACTTTCTATATATTAACTATTTGTAAACTAGCACTGTAGTATTAAAATGTAACAGATTTCATAAGCAATAGTTATCGTACAGATTATATTTTTTTCAGTAATTGATAAATAACTTAACCCACCCCCTCTTATGCCCAACCGTTTTTTCGAGGTGCCCTTCGTTTGCGTATATTTTGTATACAACAAAACAAATTCTGTGTAAAGCACGTGTTGATACCATTAGTAAGGCTCAGTGATTATGAATACCATCAAAGACAGACCGCCCAACTTGAGTCCTGTCGACCTGTCACATTTCACCACTGACAGTGACACGTGGTGATGTAGCTAACATTAAGTAAATTGTTGCATTTTGGCTGGTGATCAAGTAGTTTTAAAAAAATGGACTATTGTAACTTGTTTCATAATAACTCATTACACAAGAATCTTAATATTATTCCCACGCGTATATATGTAATGACATTTAAAGACATGAAGTTTAAATATCAAGTTCACTCTATATTTCCTGTCACCTGACTTCTTTCTTCTTTGCCTGGCGATTCCATGTTTACATGTTGGAACGTGACATTACTTACTTCAACAGCTATGATTTACATTTTTTCAATCTTACCTTTAGAATTGAATAAAATTGATCTTTTTCAGGAGTATCCAGGTTAATTATGCTTTCGTTTATATTTACCAATCGTCTCATCAAACAGTTTGATAACAGATGCGGCATTACGGTACCATGGTTCTTCGTAGTTTTGTTACTCAAACTATATATCCGTGAATTCCTGTCATTTTTCAGCATATTGCTATTAAATGAGGCATTAGATGATATTAAATTGTGATTTTTTTTTAAAAAAATGTTATTAGTATTGCGAAAATAAGATTATGAAATGTCGATACATTTGTTTTAGTTTGTTAATAAGAAAATACATACATAGAATGTGTATCTAAATGAAATTGTGTATTAAAATGTAAAGAAATGTAACGTAAATTGTTGAAAAGATACAAATATAAACCTACTTTTAAAATGTCGTCTCGAAACTCAAAGGCAATAGTATCGAAAATATCTGGTCTACTTTGTGTGATAGTTACTACCTTTGTACAATATAATTGGATAGATAAGCGTGAAATTGGATGTATTGATGGACAAATGTGTCATACAAAACTTGTTCATCACAAAAAAGTCCATTATATACTGGTGCGTATATATATATATCATCGTGATCCACGGTCGATAGATATCTGGACAGCTTTCTAGAATTGTTTTCGTCAAATTGAACCGAGTTGAAGGACAAATTATATAAAACATATTCAATTGTTGGTATCGGTCCCATTAGTTTCATCTGATAACATAATGGACTTCACACTAACGTTCTTGTTTCTAACAAACATTTTTAGTATCCTTATAGGTGTTGAATTCTGTGCCGAGTTAAAAGCGATGAATATATAACTGATATTGTATATCTCTGGTAGATTGATTTAAAATCACAAGGTCAGAGATGACATCAATATGAACAATGGTGTGGGAGGCAGAATGTAAATATGATATCATGTAACTAGAGATGTGGGAGACAGAAGGTATGATACCGGGTAATCAGTGACTTCAAAATCCATGAGCAAGATCACGCTTTATGGAAATTTCCTAAATTTATCTCTCTTTTATTTATTCTTTTGATTTCATTTTCTTCCTGTATTCAGATAACATAATTCATTCAGCGTATAACTGGTTCGCTACATTATTTTTTAAAATCATTTTTCTCAGTCTGAAGCATTCCTATAAATGCAATGTCTCTTGTCGATATATAAATGGGTTCTCGAGGTTTGGTGTGACACTGAGTGAATACAACGTCCGAGTACTGAGGTATAGACTTGCTTGCAAAATGAAACTTGAAGCGATGCGTTTAATTTCATTTTTTGTCTTAATTCATATAGGCTAGGGATGCTACCCTCCCCTAACCCCAACACTCTCACTAAAACAAAAATCCTGATTGGGATTTTAAGATGGACTTCGCTATTTGAGACACATCAACAATCGATTTCATTAAGAAACAGGGTTCAGACATTTACACTGCACGTGCCTAAGTCTTCACAGTATGGTTTTATAGCACGTGAAGCTCCACCACATCATACATTTAATTCTATTTTACAAGGTTACCAATTACCAATATGTAATTACAGTACATACATACTATGTTACAGTGTAATAAATTTCATCATGTCTCGAGACAGTATTTGAATGTATAGTAAGTGATTAAATGAAAATATGGACACACCCATTCATCTATTAGGATACAGACTGACAGTTCATTACATAATGACGACACAAATATGTTCAAGATTAGAAAAGTCCGTGAAGGGAAGCAACTTTTGAGATCAGAATGGGTAGTTGTCAATGTCAAGAGAACGGAAAAGTGATTGAGATCAGAATGGGTAGTTGTCAATGTCAAGAGAACGGAAAAGTGATTAAGATCAGAATGGGTAGTTGTCAATGTCAAGAGAACGGAAAGGTGATTAAGATCAGAATGGGTAGTTGTCAATGACAAGAGAACGGAAAAGTGATTTAAGATCAGAATGTGTAGTTGTCAATGTAGAGAGAACGGAAAAGTGATATGTAGTCCACTACAACGTTAATAACACGTTTGGTTTGATTTAAACTGGACTTCTGAAACTCCCGTGTAGCATGCAAGTTAGTCAGGGTAATACACTACTGTATAAAGCACCTTATTACTTCATTTGGTATGTAATTATACTTAACATTTCAGGCAAATTTTGATTTTATATCTCTTTCATAGAGATAACAAGAGTCGATTCACAGAGTGTCAACATCCTTATTAAGTTTATATGCTTCTATTGGTGCATTTGGATAAAACGATTCCAGTATGAACTGGCTGTGTTCGACTTTCTGGTAAAATACACGCATACATGAATTGATAGATAGGTGAATATAACGCATAATGATAGAAAAATAACATATCTTATATGTGCATTAAATTGTGTATTATATGGAACCGGTTGCTATACGTTGTTTTACATAGTATACTAAATGTAAGTCGTGTGTGCCTTGTGTTTAATGTACAAGTTATGCATGCTTTTGTGTGATTTTGTTTTTCAATTGGAATCGGTTTAAGAGTTTGTTCCTGACAATGGAATTCGTTTGTAATCTTATTACAAACGACAAGACACGTGCGATTTTTTAACGAAATTGATTGAAGATATAATGGGTTATCTCCCTTCATAAATACCGAATGTCCCGACTATATTCGTTTTTCTATTGACCCTTTAATTCATATATAACCTGTCGATTGAGACTTTACAAATACCATGTGTAATATGTTGTAAAGTGAATGGCTTAATTTCTCCTTAATAAGACATATTTGAAGTGTTTACGTCACAGTTCAATTTGTTTATCACCAGTTCGTGGGATAGGCATTCTTTGATTGCTGTCTTTGACAAAGGTCCACAAGAACTTATCTTTAAAATTTAACAAATCCACAACTATCACAGGATAACAAAATAGTACTCTTTATCTGTTGTTTTAATTCTTGCCAGCAACTTTAATTTGACAGGTTTAATAAACTTTTTAATATCTCTATTAGTAATGTAATTTAAGGAAGGGAAACGTTTCTGTTTCATCGAAGACACCATCACGAAATCCAGGTCAATCAAGTCATCTTATCACAAATAAGTATAGGCATCTTATCACAATTAAGTATAGGCATCTTATCACAAATAAGTATAGGCATCTTATCACAAATAAGTATAGGCATCTTATCACAAATAATAAAGGCACAAATAAAAAACAAAAATTTATTTCAAATCATTTGTTCATAAAATAATCTGTATATTTTTCAGAACGTGCAAGTCAATCGACCTAGTGCTTATCAAAGCATACTGCATGTAGTTAAAACAAATCATTATGATCTCACATGCTTCCATTGTCACATCATCATTAAAATGAAGAATACAGACTGATAATTATAAATATAAATGTGATGGGAGACATGGTAAAGTCACCCAATACGCCCTTGTATTTATTCCTTTTGGAAAACAATGTTGTCGATTATTGTTAAAACTTTTCAGTAAACTTGCATTTCAGTTTTACTTCACCAAGGATTCCATATACTTAATTGAAGCCAAATACCGATTTTCATATTTTAATTGGAATTTCAAAATGTTGTTATACATGGAAAATCTTAAAAGTTCTTAAAATGCATGTTTAAGAAAACACATCTGAATGCTATTCAAAAAATTTACATCATTTGTATTGATTTAAGTCATACGTTGAAAAGATATTAGCATAAAAGAAACCTAGTAAAATAGTGGGAGTAAAGAAAATGCTTATTACTTAAGATCTGTTCATCAAGTTACAATAAATATTCTGTTCGTTCAGACAAAGAAATGCTCAGTATTTGTGTCGTTAATTGTTTTCTGATCTACATACACATCATGTCAATAACATATACAATACAGTATACCAAAACTCTTGGGTTTTTGTGGATGATACTGGACAAGAACCAGTAAATGATTTGTTTCATTTTGAAAGCAGTATGATTTTCTAGGAACTAATTGATTTGTTGTGAACTAGTAAATTATGACACAAAAGTTTGGTGTAAACACAATGGTTAAGTTAATCAAGAAAAGAAATTTGAAAAAAGTTTTGCTAAAGGATGTGTTTGTTCATTATATAACAACTCACAACATGTATACTAATATATAGAATACTTTACAGAATGATCACACTTATTTACACTGATCTACTGTCAATGGAATTTGCGTAGATTTTCTATAAAGGCAAGAACAAATGGCAACCATGGATACTTCTATAAAAGTTTGTGAAAAATAAATAAATAAATAAACACACAATCTCTCATTAAACATGAAAGGTGCCTCTCACACATTAATTAGTTTTATGTGAATTAGTTATTGATACACATGTTGTTTTGTGTTTACATGTATTTAATATATAGCTATTCAGGGTTAAACACTGAAAGACATAGTTATGCAGACATTCAGAAATGAAATATCTAATTTTCTTAATTTCAAAATATTTTTAGCCAGTTATTCATACCACTAATTAGTTTTCTCTAGACATGCATTCTTCAATCAAAAAGAAAAAAAAAAAAAAAAGGGGGTGGGGGGGGAGAGAGAGAAGAAAAAAAAATAATGCATTTGGTTTCATGGGTCTGACTTTCATAATATGTTTCTCATAAAAGTTCAATAGATTACTATATGTATATGTATATAAAAATCACATTTACATGTAGGTCATCAGTTTTCCTTCATTTCATTTTCTTTAAAAAAGCAACGACAAAAAAAAAATGAAACAAAACAAAAAACAAATACATTACACCATGGGTCAGTGAACTGATTCTAAACATAAACGATAGCTTAACTGACATTTGGCTTGAATCACACTGATTTACAAACAAGTGCATTTTTACATCTCATAGTGATGAATTGTCTAATATACAGAGGCACATTCAGAAGCACATATATCCATGGAGAGATTGCTTTTTTATATACAATAAAAGGGAGAGATTGCTTTTTTATATACAATAATGGATTTGATAATCATCTGAAATGAGTAAAAATCAATAAAATGAGGATATTACAACTGGCACTTTGCATACTTTCATCCACCCAGGTATGTTTTTTTTTTATTATACTTCAGACTTTACTCTTCTTTTACATTAAACAGTTTCATAACGACATTGTCAGAGACACATTGCTAGAATTGTTTACTTTCAAAAATATAGTAATGGTACTGTAAATAATATTTAAATGTAAATAATTAAAAGAATAATTTATCAAAGTATTTTATCGTAATATGTTGCTAGGCTCCACATCAAGACATGATGAGATAAAGACACGGACAAAAATGTTCTTAACATGTTTCACTTCCTGATAATTCAGTAAATAAGTGGCTTGTTTGTAAAGAGACTTTAATGTTGAATGAAAGAAAAACCAAGTATCTAGTTTTAAAATAAGAAACAATCACAATAAAAACACTTCAATACTGTAAGATTTAAAACATTTTAAATGCTCACAACTTATTTACATCTAATTGAATCTTAAATGCCTTGCAGTTTCTTGAAATAATCAGGTGACTACATAACATTTTAAATGCTCACAACTTATTCGCATCTAATTGAATCTTAAATGCCTTGCAGTTTCTTGAAATAATCAGGTGACTACATAACATTTTAAATGCTCACAACTTATTCGCATCTAATTGAATCTTAAATGCCTTGCAGTTTCTTGAAATAATCAGGTGACTACATAACATTTTAAATGCTCACAACTTATTCGCATCTAATTGAATCTTAAATGCCTTGCAGTTTCTTGAAATAATCAGGTGACTACATAACATTTTAAATGCTCACAACTTATTCGCATCTAATTGAATCTTAAATGCCTTGCAGTTTCTTGAAATAATCAGGTGACTACATAACATTTTAAATGCTCACAACTTATTCGCATCTAATTGAATCTTAAATGCCTTGCAGTTTCTTGAAATAATCAGGTGACTACATAACATTTTAAATGCTCACAACTTATTCGCATCTAATTGAATCTTAAATGCCTTGCAGTTTCTTGAAATAATCAGGTGACTACATAACAAAGTTTCCTACACTGAAGGTTTAATCCTCCTCATAACTAAAGGACTACACTAAGGAACAGTATCACATTTGTCAATAAAGTAATCTTACTTAGCGTTGTATAACTACACAACTCTGCTACAGTATTAGTTTATATACTGAATACCTGTTAAACAGAGACAAATATACACCATGGGACTTCAATTATGGATTCAATAGTACTTAGTATGTATAAGATTTTATTTCCATGTAAAGTATGGGATTGCACTTATTAGACTGTAATTAAACTACCGTTTGAAATGAAGATCATTCTTTCATCTTATTAATGTATTATGACTAGCAGCAGTAGTAACATCTTGTCATCAATTGCTACCTTACTTGACTACACTTTCACACAAGTATACAGGAAATGTGTTACTTAATCAAATGTACATGTTTATTGCACATAATAAAGGGTGTGTCTTATATTTACCATGTATCACAATAAGAAATCACATTTCACATACATGTTTTAAATTATGCTGTCAAATGGGGGCCTATTTTTCCATTACTGTATCTATAAAGTTGCTTTACATTTTAATTAAATGTTCTTCTGACTTCAAATCAATTATTCTATTCAAGATATATGATGCACAAAAACTTTTTACTTTTTGATAAACACATGAAAAATTTCATATATGTAACACCATGCAGACATGGCACCAATCTTAATATCCTCTTTTGAGTTGTTCACAATCAGCAGTTTTCTATTCTCAATTTCTGATTTATTCGATAAGTTAATCAATTGTAGGGTTATATTTCCTGTGCTTAACAACAGATAAAAACTCTCTTCCTCTTTTTCTTGTGAACCCCTAAGTCAGACCACCAACATGAATCAAAAGATAATGATGAAATCAATCTGAATATAAAAAGATTAAAAACCTTCTGTATAGCTGGTTATGTATGCATTATTACACAATCCATTACAGATACAATTTATTGGCTTTCATACCTGTACATTCGATAAAAACACAGAAAAACCTGCATCATATTTTCAAATAATGTAAAGCAACAAAGATGTGGTAATAGATATCCATCGATGGAACTATGATTGACAATATCTTTTACAAAGGACTTGGAGTGCACGGTGCTAAAGTTTAACTTTAGGCACACTTACTTGGGTTTTATACATATATACAGGCTCATAACAAAGATAGCCAGAACCATCACTGAAAAACTCTAGAGCCTGCAGCTCAACACTGGGTTCTAAGTGTTTTAATCCTAATTTGTCTTTAAACCACAAGAATTTAAGCATGACCTTACAATTAGTGTTACTATGGTGATCAATGACTACAGGTACAAGATAATACAACATACACTATAACCAATAATAGTAAAACAAAGGTAATATTTTGTATAGGTATGTTGGCATTTTTTTTTTAGAAAATTTCAAATATTGTCAGTAATGCTATAACATCATAAAATAGATGGGTTCTTGTTCGGGCTTTCTACATAAACCGATGACATAGTCATTGATAACACAGGGCTTTTGTACTGGCTAGCTACATAAACCTACAACACAATCATTGATAACACAGGGATGTTGTACTGGCTTGCTACATAAACCTATGACATAGTCATTGATAACACAGGGTTCTTGTACTGGCTAGCTACATAAACCTATGACATAACCATTGATAATACAGGATAGTTGTACTGGCTGGCTACATAAACCTATGACATAATCATTGATAACGCAGGGTTCTTTTACTGGCTGGCTACATAAACCGATGACACAATCATTGATAACACTGGGTTCTTGTACCGGCTAGCAACATAAACCTATGACATAATCATTGATAACACAGGGTTCTTGTACTGGCTGGCTACATAAACCTTGGCATATTCATTGATAACACAGGGATGTTGTTCTGACTAGCTACATAAACCGATGACATAATCATTGATAACACAGGGTTCTTGTACTGGCTGGCTACATAAACCTTGGCATATTCATTGATAACACAGGTATGTTGTTCTGACTAGCTACATAAACCGATGAAATAATCATTGATAACACAGGGTTCTTGTACTAGCTGGCTACATAAACCATTGACAGAATCATTGATAACACAGGGTTCTTGTACTGGCTGGCTACATAAACCTTGGCATATTCATTGATAACACAGGGTTCTTGTACTAGCTGGCTACATAAACCATTGACAGAATCATTGATAACACAGGGTCCTTGTACTGGCTAGCTACATAAACCTATGACATAACCATTGATAATACAGGGTAGTTGTACTGGCTGGCTACATAAACCTATGACATAATCATTGATAACACAGGGTTCTTGTACCGGCTAGCAACATAAACCTATGACATAATCATTGATAACACAGGGTTCTTGTACTGGCTGGCTACATAAACCTTGGCATATTCATTGATAACACAGGGTTCTTGTACCGGCTAGCAACATAAACCTATGACATAATCATTGATAACACAGGGTTCTTGTACTGGCTGGCTACATAAACCTTGGCATATTCATTGATAACACAGGGTTCTTGTACCGGCTAGCAACATAAACCTATGACATAATCATTGATAACACAGGGTTCTTGTACTGGCTGGCTACATAAACCAATGACATAATCATTGATAACACAGGGTCCTTGTAAAGGCTGTATACATAAACCTATGACATAATCATTGATAACACAGGGTCCTTGTACTGGCTGGCTACACAAACCTTGGCATATTCATTGATAACACAGGGTTCTTGTACCGGCTGGCTACACAAACCTTGGCATATTCATTGATAACACAGGGTTGTTGTACTGGCTGTATACATAAACCAATGACACAATCATTGATAACACAGGGTTCTTGTACTAGCTGGCTACATAAACCGATGACACAATCATTGATAACACAGGGTTCTTGTACTAGCTGGCTACATAAACCAATGACACAATCATTGATAACACAGGGTTCTTGTACTAGCTGGCTACATAAACCGATGACACAATCATTGATAACACAGGGTTCTTGTACCGGCTGGCTACACAAACCTTGGCATATTCATTGATAACACAGGGTTGTTGTACTGGCTGTATACATAAACCGATGACACAATCATTGATAACACAGGGTTCTTGTACCGGCTGGCTACACAAACCGATGACACAATCATTGATAACACAGGGTTCTCGTACCAGCTAGCTACATAAACCGATGACATAATCATTGATAACACAGGGTTCTTGTACTGACTTTCTATATATACCTATAACACAATCATTGATAACATAGGATACCCTGTTCTTGTTGTCAATATAAACCAAGACCACATAAGGTAAACCAATGAACAACATACATGTTTCCCCCATCTTCACTAGTTCTCAGATACTTTGAACATAACAATCCATTATACTTCTGTTACTCTAGTTTGTTTCATTAGTAAAAGACTTTCATTTACAAGCATACACACCCATAGCAACCACAAACATCCCTGGTCATGGGTTAGTCCGTTAGGCTTAGCTACTCTAGTTTGTTTCATTGGTAAGAAACCTACATTTATGAATAAGACATTAACCACCTACACACCCATAGCAACCACAAACATCCCTGGTCATGGGTTAATGTCCGTTAGGCTTAGCTACTCTAGTTTGTTTCATTGGTAAGAAACCTACATTTATGAGCTAGACACATCCCCATTGCAGCTACACAAATCTTGTTATTGGTCCATGTCCATCAAACTCCACTACATCTTTCTATGGGTATGACACCCACACCAACTCCACCCTCGTGGGCCATCATCGGAGCCACAAATACCCAAGAGTCAGATTCTGGATTGTACATTTCAACTGAAGTCAAATTACTGATCCCGTCATAGCCACCAATGGCATACAACTTCCCATAAACTGTGACCAGGGCAACACGACTACGTCTCACTTGCATGGATTTGATCTCTGTCCATTTATCTGTGAGCGGGTCATAACACTCAACTGTATTGAGAAACACAGACCCATCATATCCTCCTGCAGCATACAGCTTCCCATTCAAGACTGCCACACCGAGACGACACCTCTTGGTCAGCATAGGAGTGACATACGCCCAATGGTTGGTTGATGCATTGTAACATTCCACCTGAGGATAAAGAAAAATCTCAGAAGTTGCAAATGTAGACCAATACAATGGCTTACAATCTATCTATTTTTATAGTTTTGTCTTGTGTCACAATAATCCTTATGTACATGATTGACATATTTAGACTGCAGTATTATAACTTAAAGAGCAAGTATGTGTTCAGGAATAAAATCTTGAGACCTGTAATTAAATAATAAAAGAAATGAAATGTAATTTGTTATCTGTCTAAAGTGAAAGAAATAATCATTTATGGACATAAAACAGTGATGAGTAGAAGGAAATATATTGTACATTAACAGCAATATAAAAACTTATCATCTAGTTGGAAACACTTACTGAATCAAAAATAGAGAGACCATCATGACCTCCACATGCATAGATAAGGCCATCCAAACATGCCACACCTGATGCACTACGAGGCTTTAGCATGTTACAGAGGGGTTTCCATCTGTAAACAAATGTTTTCTTGTAAATGAAACAATGATTCAGCAAAACGAGGCAGTAAAACGGAAAGTATTTGCAATTAACCTGACCTCAAAATATGTTGTCATAAAAGGCACTCCAAAATATGATGCCAACAATGGACCTATAGTCTCTGATAATGACAAAATAAGCTTAGAGCTGATGTTCCTTTCTGTCTCATCATATCGAGCTAGCTTCTAAATATACAGTTGTGCGATCACATAACGTTACACCATGTGTGCATGATGTATGTACAATAGGAAAACTTGACGAAATTTGCTATCACACCTCTGTGCAATTCTATTGTGGTTCAAATTAATTTAGAAATGACTGATGAATAAGTGTGTGATAGGCTTTATTTTTTTTCTAAATAAGAGTACAGATTAGTATATTTCCTAAGTAAGACATTTATTCATAGGTCAGACACATGCACACCATAGCTCCATCACACACAGATTGAATAATTTCAATACTCATAATTAAGAGAGCTTTATTTACTGGTACAAAGTAAACACCTGACTTGTCTAAGTATATATACACTAACTATATATACACCATACATAAAAACATCAAATGGATATCTTTTTGGTCTCAGCAATGGATTATCTAAAATCTTATAACGTCAGAAATGTAACTTTATTTACATTGCGTCCGTGTTACTCTCATTTTGTAAAGTAAAAAATATATATTCAGGTAATGTTGTGATTGCTTCATGGGAGACCCAGCTGGTATGGAATGGCACATATATACCCATATTTAGGTTATTTTCACTTTACACATGGCGCACTACTCATTCTCCATAAAGTGTGAAACTATCCTATCAATAATTAATATACCTAAGGTGTAAGAGTTGCCAATGATATACTTACTGGTCTCGCTCAGTATCATACTTTTCTACAGAGCGGAGAGAGGACAGACCATCGTAACCACCACACACGTACAGGTGGCCATTCAGGGATACTGCTCCCAGAGCACTGACAATATATATAAATATGTAATGAAATTAGTTTCATATTAAACTTTGATGACTCATTAAATATCTTTTAATCTATAGACTGGAAATAAAAAAAATCATCTTTTTAACAAGAAGCAGTGGAGACAGTGGTACAAATGTACAATGTACATGAAGTCAGTGTGATATTTTAATACCTTAGAAGTAAAGCATCAACTCTGAAAAAAATGGCATGAAACTTCTCAATTGACTTTGAAACATTACTATGATTCTGAACATACAATGAACATCATGTATTTCCACCTATATCAGATACACACCTCCTCTTACAATTCATGCTGGCCACACATTTCCAGGTTTTACTATCCCTGTGAAAAACCTCAACAGTGCTTAGGCGTTCAGATCCATCGTACCCTCCTATGGCATATAGACAGCCTACAATATATGTATTAACTTGTTTCCATCAGATATTCAATCTTTCTGGTGCAAAAATTATAACTATACACTTTTAATTATGTATATTTACCAAGTACACTGACACTGTCACTACTTTCAGTAAACAGCTGAATCAGTATGACAATTGTTAGGCACATATTTGTATAGTTTGAGGATCCCTGAATTTCATGTATATTTGCAACATTTGCAATTTATTCATACATATAGATTTATATAATTTTAGGTTAATGATGTTTGACAAAAAGATTACAAACTTTGCATTTTGAACTCTTCATCAATGCATTATTGTTTTAAACTGCCAGTACAGAAGCTGCCTAACACACAGTTCAAGGGAATTAACTCTTCCAAAATAGCAAATACATTTTTTCACAATCTTCAACTCAACATTCCAACCATTTTTAAATTTTTTTTTAGTTCATTTATAAATACTGAAGATATCAGACTTATTAATCTTAAAATCAAAATTGCTCAAAGCAACTGTTTAGAATTCCTTCCCTTTGATTTATTTTGTTTTGCAAAAAATAATCACCGTTCAAGATGGCGACACCCACTCTGCTACGTATCGTACTCATAGCTTCGGCTACAGCCCACCTGTTGACTATAGGGTCATAGTTCTCCACTGTACTAAGTGAATCACCTGGGAAACAAATGTTTGATATATACCTTTATACAGTGTATGAACATCAGTGAACAAAACTAAAACAGTTCATCAATAAAATCTATGTACCTCATAAGTGCTAGATTAAACTTACAATAGAAAATCTACATTAAGCAATATATAATTATGAATCTTCATATGCTACTGATTTTATCGAACAAGTTTATAATTTTCTTTAGGGTCTAAATTTAACACTTCATGTAAAATTTGTCCATTATTTAGACAGGGATCCCTTAACCAATCAGAAAAGTCTGTTTAAAATGGAAAGGAATCGCAGGAAACAGCAAATATATATTAACAGTTTAATGTATTAAGGAGAAATTACATATTCACATTTTGCCATGTTGATAATTGGCATTTGTCCAAAAAGTTGTCACCTAATATCTAGGTATAATAATGATTGACCCTGGATACTAATACTGCACATGTGCTCAAGTGAACAAATAAAGTTACCAGAAGATGTTAGGCCACCAACTGCATATATAATTCCAGGAATGTCTGAACAACATCGCGGCCGAGCCTTGAATGTCTGGAGGAGATAGCGACGCTCTGGCATCAAATGGTAGTCCTTTGCCTCATCAACAAGATCCCTGGACAATTGTAAAGGTTATATTAGCAAATAAGAAATATCTATATTGATTTTAACAATTTTGTTTTCCGAAAAACAAATTAAAATAACAGAAAATTGAGTTATCTGGTTCCCTCAATATCATAGATAATTCAATACATGTCAGATACATGTACTGAAGTATTTATTTACTGTTAAGATTTGAAAGCCTTGAATATTAACAACCTGCACAGCAGACAGTTTTTGATGAGATCCTCTGAGGCCACTCGGTCAGACAGGTACTGTGGGGTGAGGAGAGGTAACCTTACATTTATCATCAGCTCTGGCAGGATCAGCTTACGGTCAATGTCATCCTCCTTCTTTACCCAAGATATCACAGACTCAAACACCTGAAATTTACCAACTAAGGATGTCACAGACTCAAACACCTGAAATTTACCAATTAAGGATGTCAGACTCAAAAACCTGAAATTTACCAATTAAAGATGTCACAGACTCAAACACCTGAAATTTACCAACTAAGGATGTCACAGACTCAAACACCTGAAATTTACCAATTAAGGATGTCACAGACTCAAACACCTGAAATTTACCAATTAAGGATGTCAGACTCAAACACTTGAAATTTACCAATGAAGGATGTCACAGACTCAAACACCTGAAATTTACCAACTAAGGATGTCACAGACTCAAACACTTGAAATTTACTAATTCAAGATGTCATAGACTCAAACACCTGAAATTTACCAATTAAGGATGTCACAGACTCAAACACCTGAAATTTACCAATTAAAGATGTCACAGACTCAAACACCTGAAATTTACCAACTAAGGATGTCACAGACTCAAACACCTAAAATTTACCAATTAAGGATGTCACAGACTCAAACACCAGAAATTTACCAATTAAGGATGTCAGACTCAAACACTTGAAATTTACCAATGAAGGATGTCACAGACTCAAACACCTGAAATTTACCAACTAAGGATGTCACAGACTCAAACAGCTGAAATTTACTAATTCAAGATGTCACAGACTCAAACACTTGAAATTTACCAATGAAGGATGTCACAGACTCAAACACCTGAAATTTACCAACTAAGGATGTCACAGACTCAAACAGCTGAAATTTACTAATTAAAGATGTCACAGACTCAAACAGCTGAAATTTACCAATGAAGGATGTCACAGACTCAAACACCTGAAATTTACTAATTCAAGATGTCACAGACTCAAACACTTGAAATTTACCAATGAAGGACGTCACAGACTCAAACACCTGAAATTTACCAACTAAGGATGTCACAGACTCAAACAGCTGAAATTTACTAATTCAAGATGTCACAGACTCAAACACCTGAAAATTTACCAATTAAGGATGTCACAGACTCAAACAGCTGAAATTTACCAATTAAAGATGTCACAGACTCAAACAGCTGAAATTTACCAATTAAAGATGTCACAGACTCAAACACTTGAAATTTACTAATTAAAGATGTCACAGACTCAAACACTTGAAATTTACTAATTAAAGATGTCACAGACTCAAACACTTGAAATTTACTAATTAAAGATGTCACAGACTCAAACACTTGAAATTTACTAATTAAAGATGTCACAGACTCAAACACTTGAAATTTACTAATTAAAGATGTCACAGACTCAAACACTTGAAATTTACTAATTAAAGATGTCACAGACTCAAACACTTGAAATTTACCAATTAAAGATGTCACAGACTCAAACAGCTGAAATTTACCAATTAAAGATGTCACAGACTCAAACAGCTGAAATTTACTAATTCAAGATGTCACAGACTCAAACACTTGAAATTTACTAATTAAAGATGTCACAGACTCAAACACTTGAAATTTACCAATTAAAGATGTCACAGACTCAAACAGCTGAAATTTACCAATTAAAGATGTCACAGACTCAAACAGCTGAAATTTACTAATTAAAGATGTCACAGACTCAAACACTTGAAATTTACTAATTAAAGATGTCACAGACTCAAACACTTGAAATTTACTAATTAAAGATGTCACAGACTCAAACAGCTGAAATTTACCAATTAAAGATGTCACAGACTCAAACAGCTGAAATTTACTAATTAAAGATGTCACAGACTCAAACACTTGAAATTTACCAATTAAAGATGTCACAGACTCAAACAGCTGAAATTTACTAATTCAAGATGTCACAGACTCAAACACCTGAAAATTTACCAATTAAGGATGTCACAGACTCAAACAGCTGAAATTTACCAATTAAAGATGTCACAGACTCAAACAGCTGAAATTTACCAATTAAAGATGTCACAGACTCAAACACTTGAAATTTACTAATTAAAGATGTCACAGACTCAAACACTTGAAATTTACTAATTAAAGATGTCACAGACTCAAACACTTGAAATTTACCAATTAAAGATGTCACAGACTCAAACACTTGAAATTTACTAATTAAAGATGTCACAGACTCAAACACTTGAAATTTACCAATTAAAGATGTCACAGACTCAAACACTTGAAATTTACTAATTAAAGATGTCACAGACTCAAACACTTGAAATTTACTAATTAAAGATGTCACAGACTCAAACACTTGAAATTTACCAATTAAAGATGTCACAGACTCAAACAGCTGAAATTTACTAATTCAAGATGTCACAGACTCAAACACTTGAAATTTACCAATTAAAGATGTCACAGACTCAAACACTTGAAATTTACTAATTAAAGATGTCACAGACTCAAACACTTGAAATTTACCAATTAAAGATGTCACAGACTCAAACACTTGAAATTTACTAATTAAAGATGTCACAGACTCAAACACTTGAAATTTACTAATTAAAGATGTCACAGACTCAAACACTTGAAATTTACCAATTAAAGATGTCACAGACTCAAACAGCTGAAATTTACTAATTCAAGATGTCACAGACTCAAACACTTGAAATTTACCAATTAAAGATGTCACAGACTCAAACACTTGAAATTTACCAACTAAGGATGTCACAGACTCAAACAGCTGAAATTTACTAATTCAAGATGTCACAGACTCAAACACTTGAAATTTACCAATGAAGGATGTCACAGACTCAAACAGCTGAAAATTTACCAATTAAGGATGTCACAGACTCAAACACCTGAAAATTTACCAATTAAGGATGTTACAGACTCAAACACCTGAAATTTACTAATTCAAGATGTCACAGACTCAAACACCTGAAAAATTACCAATTAAGGATGTCACAGACTCAAAACACCTACAATATACCCATTAAGATTGTCATAGACTCAAACACCTGAAATTTACCCATTAAAGACTAAAAACAACTGAAATTTACACAGGATATTACAGACAGAAACACTTGAAAAGGAAATATTGCTGTCAAGTAAAAAATAAACATTAAGAAATTATCAAACAAGGATATGGTGAAAGTGTATTCAGAACAATCACAAAATCACATTCAATAGGATAAGCATAAAAAAGGCTCTGATAACACACCATTTAAAGTCTAAACTTAAAAATGTGATTTGAGCAATGACAGACCTCCTCCTCTGACTGTACATGGAGCTCATCCCTGCTAATGATGTCAATGATTTCTGTCTTGCTTAAGTTGAGGAACTCCTCAGTGTGGGCTACATCCTTGAAATTTTTTTGGATGTGTTTGTCAGCTTCCGCCACCAGTCCTGGACACATGTACTGGTCAGCAAAGGAGCGGATACCCAGAACATTGTCCGGATGTAACCTACACAAATTGAATGATCAGTTTCATTTCAAGTCTCAGTTACTGAAAGATGCCTCAGCCAATGACATACAGAGCCAGTGCAAGATGGTAAATGCTTCATGTAAATTGTGTTAGTCTAAATGCTGAATCCAAAATGCTCCATGTAAAATGTTTTGATCATGAAATATTTTAACCGGGAATAATTGAAATGGAAAGGATACACAAAACATTTATGGTTTAATAAAGCATTTCTCATTCAGCATTTTGCATAAAGCATTTCATAATTTTAGCATTTTGCATGAATTTTTGAACTAATTTATTTCGCATAAAGCATTAAAAAAAGTATTCTATTATATAGAATGTCCCAAACAAAATATATACAATCATGTATATGTAGTCCATTGACAACATAAGCCTTCTTAACATTTATTACCCTCACAAAGACATTAACAGAGGTTCTCTATTGACTTGCGGTCATCTTAAAATCTTTAACCAGAATTCAATATAAAGGATTTGGCATTTAAAAGCAATTTACATTAAAAGTATTTAGAATGTCATACCAGCTTTCTGTACTACAGCTTTGCAATAGGCTAGCCTCCACAATATTTTTAAATTTTTAATGCTATTCGAAACTTTGCATAGTAAGATGTGTGCTCCAATTTTCCATATTACTTACTGATGACCAGGGAAAGATGTGAGTAGCTGGAATTTCACATCTCAGGAAATTTAAAGAACTATGAATCCTGTAGAAATACATGTTTATGTTACACTGAATACTGTTTTACTGTCTCTGATCACTGATTTACTCACCCAAAGACCATGATCAAGTGATTTACTTATTACAATGTCTTCTCTAGGTAATGGAAATGAAAATCTTGGCATCCCCTCATTTCCAAATGTGACCTGACTTTGTGTATAAACCCTTACTGATGTTCCCATTTAGTGAATGATATTTCTATAAAAACATTGAAAGACATAAGGGACATGTACAATCCTACTTAAGGCTGTTCTTAGGTGTTACTATCATCATACCTTCTTTGGAGGAAGTTGCAGCAGCCCTCTTTTACTGCCTGTAAATGTAGGAAGCTGGCCGCCACCAAAAGAGACTGGACATTGTGTGAATCTATCTCTACTTTTCCATTGTAGGCATAGTTCACCAGTGACTCCAATGCACTGCAACATGCATCTTAATGTTGATCATCACCACATACAGAAATATATCATGCAACTGCTCAAAATGTATTCTTAATATTTATTTAAAGTGTGATATCCTATATGCACATTATGATACAAATGATGTTGTGATTTGGTGACAAAGCTGGTGACAAAAATTATATAAGCCTACACTTATTTCATACCAGCGTGGTTTGGGAGAATTTGGTTTCTTGTCGATTTCATAGAGCTTTCGGCAACCAAACAGCTGCAGGGATAATCATGATCTGGAGAATAATAACATAGCTCTTGGCTATTTTATGTAACTCTGTTTCATGTTATTAGATATGCATGCCAACTCGTATAAGATTTTGTGTCTTGACAAAGGGGCAGGTTGCCTCAGAATTTTGACAATTTACTAGTCGGTATCATAATTATTACTTCATACATCTATTCCTGTACTGAAGTTACATCAAATGGATAGAACATATAATTAAAAAACATTTATACAAAATGTCCTCGTAATCCATTCAGTTGTTGGAAGGTCTCTATAGAAGGAGCGAAAAACCACCATAAGATTTGTATAGATATACTGTATGACTGATCATAATCAAAGATCAGGATACTGCAACTGATTTACATGTATTTTGTCACTGATTTCACATCATGTACATGTATACTCACTTGGGGTCTATACCCTGCATGGAGATTTCATCCTGTTTTGACTCTACCATGTCGTGTGTAAACATAGCATGGAAGTATGGAATGGTGGCTGCCAGCACTATACGGTGAGCTGTAAACTTCCTATCCTCCACCTGCAAGAAAACACTCAATTATTTATGCTTCTAACTATTACTTCTGTAAATGTATAGGAATCTGATATCTTATCAATATGAATGTATATTATCCCTATACAATATTTTGTTTACTAGTAATATAATCATAACATGCTTTCTAAAAATAACCACACAAAATGGCAAAATAATAATAATGATAATAATAATAACCTTTATTTATCGTCGTGTACAGGTTAACAACAAACATAAGCTCTGCAGAGCTTTTATTACAACGCCGCTGAGGGAACAAATGTTGTTTCAACGGTGGAGGAAAACCCACGGGGTAAAACCACCGTGCCATCGGAGGGATAACAACTAACCCTATAAGGCATCACTCTCTTATTCCACCACCGCTGGGGATCGAACCAAAATTCTTGGGAGAGTGAGTGGTCTGAAGCTCGCGTTTCATTGCACACAGTATTAATGACTGTGCGCATTAGCGATCACGACTACCGAGGCATACTTACCATAATTGATAGCTGTCCACTAGTCCTAATTCTGATACATAACAGTTGATAGAACATTAGAATGATTCTGACAACTAGGCAACATATATTTTTAAAAATTCTGTTTGCTAATGTAGAGATACAAAATATACAGTATAGATATATCTCATTGTGTGAACGAGAAATGCCATTTTGTCTACTTTTTTATGCAAGACTAACTTAGCTAGCCACCTAATTACAGATTACAGGCAGATGCGTTACAGTTTCAGTATATACTTTCAAATCACAAGGCGTCCCTGACCTTTTAAACATACTGCATCACTGTGTACTTTTTTGTTATATCATGGCCCTGTTGGGAATTTATTATTGTTACAAATACAGAATCTTATACATATAATTTATAATCTGGATCCGGACTAAGAAATGCACATATAGATATTATATCATACATACTGTTTCATTGCAATATTAAAGTTGGCTGAAATATATTACAGGGCTCTCACACCCCATTTTGGGACTGGGGCCAGGGGCCCATAGAATTGGGAAAAATAGCGGAGTTTTCCTTATAATTGGGAAAACTTGGGGTCTAAATTGGGAAAAACAAATACTTTTTTGCATTGGGAATATTCGGTCCCAAATCTGGCAGATCGAGAGCCCTGTTATTACCATCAGAAAATAACTAAAGATCTAATGTTATTGTGACTACATGTGTTTGTCAAACATAGCCGAACCGATGAGATCTGTTTATCAACTTCTCATTCCTAGAATATACTGTTTATAAGATACAACAATGAAAAGAATCTGTCTTACTTATTAACAACTATCATATGGATAATGATAATCAAAATGGAAATTATTTATTTGCGTAAGATTTACTAATAATCTTTACACGCTGATATCAATAATTGTATTCGGGAATTGAGAGTGGTCGGAGTTTTCACCGTTGTGTAAGCGAACTGACTAACACGGTAACATCGCTGACATTCGATATAGCAATACCTTGAGTGTGACATCGCATAGCTTCCCTTGTCGTCTGATATCTTCAAATACTGGGAATGCACATACAGGCAAGTCATCTTTGTGGAATATAACAACATCTTCCGACATCTTGACACCGGAAGTAAACTGATCCTTGAATGGCCTCCCTTCGCATTTGGCATTTTGGCGGGAAATATTAAATTGATAAGATGATAAGATTCCTTTTAGCTAAGATGTTTCAATAAACCACGCTTCACTGCTTTTTGACACTGCCGTGTGATATTTTTCATCCAAATTCGTTGAATTTAAGTTTATAAATTAAACAAACAAATGAACCTGTTTATTCTACTAACCCTGCATCTCGCCTATGGTATTTATGATGTTGCAGTTGATTCGATATATTCAAGAGATCAACTATCACAATTTTTGTGTTAGACGTCGTCTTCTGACAGACAAATCTATAATACATGGTTTCAAAATATGGAGGTTTATGAAAGTAATGGTGGAGTTTTTTTGTCGTCATTTGAACTCATTGAGAAACATTCTATTTCTTTAAAGTTTGATTCTCGTTACGTTGTCTCAGCTGGACCGAGATTTGCATGTTCACATTGGCATTTTCTTGTTGTTTTTGTAGTTGGACGACAGGTGCTTGGCCAGGGTAGCCTATAATATGTATATAATATATGTATATATAGATATATATATATATCAACAAGCAACTGTAAGTGTATTTGGTCTATAATTATTTGACGAAAACTTGACAAAAACGGCAAAGATTTAAATTAATTTACTATATATTAGTTCAAGAATCTTATGCTTGATTTTACAACTTATAAAATTGCACGAGGAAAGGGAATTAGCTGATAATCTCAACAACTGCCATTCAATGTTATTTCAATATTTTCTTCCATAGCCATTACAACATATGAAACTGGCAATATACATTATAATATCGAATCATATGAACGAAGATATGGAGATGATATTGCCGTCACATTTTAAATACATTATGCATATATGATAATGATTTCCTTTTAGGTATATTAAAATTTATATCTTTGTTTATGTCTAATTTGTTGAGGTTTTAAAAATACCTTCTTTAATAAAATTTGACCGACAAAAAAGTAAACATTATTAATATATCCATTGATGTGTGAACAAATGAAATAAGTTTATATTTTCAGCAAGGGGTCTTTTATTTAGAAAATGTAAAAAACAAAATTAATTTGAGACCCGCTTAACTAGATCCAGCTAAATGTTTCCTTTTCAGAGTTGTTCAGCTGTTGCATGACAATGCCTTATCACAACAGATCTGCTTACTTCGTAGAAAAATATGCATGAGGAAAATGACTTCTTGTTGGTAAATCTTCTACTTTTATGACAATCATTAAAAGAATGTGCATTTTAGTGTCACTGTATGCATTCTTTGTTGCCGCAATCTCGGTATCATGTCCTGAGGACTAATTTTAAACAAGTTATTCGAATGCGCCTTTGACATTCGGTTACTCTCGGATCCGAGAGGTTTCAGTAGTGTATGTGTGTATATCCATATTCACATATATATATCGTCCACTGTGCATTTTAAGAACGCAAATATGCCAACTAACAGAGAAAGTATCTCTCCATGGAACTTTCGCATGAAAGTCAGGATTGCTTACGCTGTCATAGGTGTGTTCATTGGTGTTTCTGTCTTGATCGTATTTGGATACAAGTATTCAAACTGGGACGCAGCCTTATGGGGACTGACATCTGGTATGTATACATACAATATCACTTTCGTTTCGTAATTTAAATCGTATGTATATGTTTATATGTGACTGTGCGTCAAGGTAAACGTATAAAATGTAATTCTGTTGATCTTTTACATGCACATGTCTTATCTGACTTGTCCTAATAATGCGGGATTGGTCTTAAAGGATTTCATCATCTATATGACGATCTATTTATTGAGGGGTTACGGTTTGCCCGATGTCTCTAAACAAGTTAGACAGGCGATCGCGAGCTTAGTACTTGTTCTGTACATTTGATCTAGGCCCTCATTAACAAACTTATACGGCGTTATTGGAAACATGAAATCCAACTGTTTGTGCCCGATCCATGAGACATTTCAAAAAGTTTACACAAACGTGCGAGGCCTAATAGGCCAGGAGTCAAAATGTGGGTCACGCATGCTAAATAACTGGTATCCAAGTGATTTCGTTTTCGGCAGTTCGGCTGATCAACAAAAGCTCACACATCACAATATTTCATTTTCAAAAATAAAGGTTACATATTCATTATTTGTTACTGTTGGATATTAGTAATGCGTCGCCTCATGACACACAAATTATCAGTATGTTTTTGTACTATAGTGTTATTTGAATTTTGAAAATAACGTATTGAATCCTTGCACTGCTGTGATAAAAAATATACGTGTTCGATTATTCCCTAATACGGTAAGGGTATTTATATACAATGCAGATATTGATGAGTTTGACCACAATGACTTGTATACAGCTTTGTAAATCATAAAGTGCTTTCATCAATAGAAAAGCTTAATAAAATAATAAAATAACTTAAAAGTACATTTCTTTAAAGACACAAAGACTTTTTTTGGTTTATTGTTGGATTTTACTTACAATACTTGTTTTATCGCCCTCTGGAAAAACGGATTATCTTGTCACGTAGAAGGTGACTACACTACTGAACATCATGCGACATTCCTGCATGCTATATAGATAAGTTTCTACTGTCCACCGACACCCGAGAAATTTAAACCGCCCAGATCGGGATCTAACTATACACCTCACAACAGACTGACCATCCTGATGCTCTTAGCTAGTTGCCATCGCGACCCGAGATTTTTTATGTGATGCTACCACTCCTTAACGCCAACAAATTTGTCCGACGGAGGATAACGTTTAAATGAACATTACCGAAAATTTTCATGTGACATAAAGATCTTTCACTCATGGCCATCGTCATCTGAATAATGTTTGACAGGACCCGATGCCAGCAATGTGTTGTATAGCCAAATGGCCTTTATTTGGCATGTACCAGGAAGAATTATATTCAGGTGAATCCTTTTTCCCAAATAAATAAATTACTTTAATATGACATGATTATGGCTGAAGGAACTGCCTTCAGTTGTTGCAAATTATCACTGAGCAATTCTGTCTGTTCATGGAGCAGAGAAGGAATTTCTCCTTATCTTCTAATATATGAAGACTGGGATCTATCTGTGAAACATTGTAAAGGATGCCTAGACGAGTATTGTGTCGGTCATGAAGACGTTTAATCAAAAAGGTATAGATTGCATACGTTAAAGATGGTGACGATATTGCAGGTATAAGATGGTAATTGCGTGTTACTCGCTACATAAAGAGCTGCAACACGTCGATCGAACATATTATAGCAGGCACTAGTTCTTCCTGGAATGCATGAAATGACTTTTTTTCTGACAGTTTGACATCATCGTCATCATCCAAGCTAGACTGCTTTATCAAATTCACAGATATTTAGAAACAGATATAATAAGTTCATGCAACATTCATATTTATCTTAATTTTATTTCTTGAATTAGATTTGAACATTTCTATAAATGCAGTTTCTTTTCGTTTGCCTAAGATATGTTTTAACCAACTATCTATAACATCAACGAATTCATATTTTCCGAACATACTATGAAACGGAAGTAGCCCAATAGGAGCACAGTTTCCGTATCATTTACCTTGTTGGATCAATTATCTTTAATTACACATGGAAAAAACCGCGTAATTCCGACCAGTGTACAGTCGCCGACAAGTTTTAGTTAGATATAAATGAAGAAATCGTGACTTAGAATGGATAAAAACATTTCCAAAAATCATAATTTCTGTGCCCGCTGAACATTTAACTTTCTTGAATATTGAATAGTTGCTTCTAACAGTAGACGATACATATAGTGTCAGCAAGAGGGTAAAGAAACTGCTCTGATTTCCAATCCCAACTCCCTTGTTGATGATACTTAAAGGAATGATAATGTTGGCCGTTTGTGTCAAATCCCTGCGGTTTATGATTCAAACCATCAAAACATCTAAAAGAGGTCAGATTAACACCGCAATAACTCGTAAATAGTAAAACGTCAGACAAATATTTGTTGGGGTATTGAAAGACACTCCGGAGAATCATTGAAGGCAGTTTAAGATAGCCTAAAACGATAGAATGAACACAAGAACATCGGCGGGCACATATATTAAAACGAGGTATGTTTGTCAAGGGTATCCTTCATTGAAAAAAACTACAAATAAACATATAAAAATAGTAAAACATGTCTCTCCAATAGCATAACTATAATAAAGTTTGTCCTTGAAAGGCACCTGTGACGTCGGGTTTTCTAAGATTTACAACTCCTTATTTAACGTAAGGGAACACTGGGTGCTTTTAGTGTTTAGCTATTGGTTTTATGTTTTTTAGATTATATACACGCTTTAATCTCAAGTTGTCAGTGTCCGTGAACACTGTTGAGTGGCCATTGATTTTCAGTTTATCATGCAACACTGCTTCTTAAGTCCTTTGTACACTGTATATATGTTTATTTCGTGCCTTTCTGTATTTTTTTTAAATCAAAGAATATATGCTCGTCGTTGCCCACGCGAAGACAATTTTACATTGCATATGCTTCAACAAATAGGTGTAAACTTTACACATTAGCAAAAGATAGACAGTATGAAAACAATAATTATGCTGCAGTTATCGTAATATCAACATTTTACCTAAAAGGGATAAAAACGTTTTTAAGTACTTATTTGTCAGTGAAGTAAAACAAATATTAATGATGAAACTAATGGTGATATTACCTTCTTAGCATTTAACAGTCAGAACGGTTCTGTCTGCCTCATAAAATTAACGGATTTTACTAATTTGCGGGTTTGTGAGCATATTTTAGAAGATCAGAGCAGAAAAACACATAATGTTTATTGCAGCAAACAATTTAAAATGGCGCAATGCTGTTTTCAAACGTAATCTCACAGAGAATATACGACCAGTATTGTACTTTGGTTCCTAACCTCCACAAAACGTCTTTTGTTAATTAAATATATTCAGTGAAGAATATGTCCTAATGATGCCCCATTTGCGGTTTGTTGACAGGTATTGTGGCAGGCTTGACACTTCTAGTGCATATATACTACTGCAGGAAGGTAGCCAAGGGATTGCACATACAACCCACTTCTCTCAGTAGATGTATGTTGTTAGCTTGTTTTATCCAGTTGGCTGGTGTTTGTGGATTTGTGGTCTACCTTACGCTAGCAGTCACACAAGGACAAGGTAAGGCTACCATTAACGATTTCTCGGAACCATATAAATAGAAATCCGATCATAGATTTATGTGAAGCATTAACTAACGTTTTAGAAAGTCGGTTCCTTATAGTTAATTCGTTTGCTGATGATGTAGAGGGTTTTCCATCGGTCCATTCATTCTTACATCTCGCATTATGTCCACTTTTGTAAAACCAAAATATATTTCATGTGATATTTGATGTTCGAAAAGTTTTGAGATTAACAAACAAATTGACAAACGAGTTTTCAACCTTATTGGAAATATTTCCAAGGCTTCGATGAATTACCCTATGAAATTTCTTTTCATTATGTGCCAACGGGCCGTTAAGATTGCAATAATAATAAAGATATATGTGTCATTTTACTGGATTTAGTGATAACATTATAATTTTACAAACATATATATATTTATGTATGTATTGTTCATGTATTGACAGAGGAAATTCCATTTTCATTTGGACCCGATTGGGGACTCGAGTTCATGGTCTATGGCACTAAACCGCCTCGGTTATCAGAGACCAATTTTTTTCCTTTTCAGGTTTACAATTATATGGGGCGGGCTATTATCTGACTCTGGTTTGGTGCTTTATGACGTGGAAATGGGGATTGATCCTGTTGCTGACAGCTCGGAGGTATCGGAACCAATTCTACGAAGTGTACACCATTTTACCGAAATCTGAGAATTTCTAGCTTTCCGAGAAATAATCATATATTTGGTTGTTATATCATAATTTCCATTTCAGCTTATTGTAAATTGACATTATAATGAACATTAAAATCCTTAAGCATCGTTAATTTCATTAAAACACTTAACGCAAATTTCTCCCAATAGTCATCCTAGATACTCCAGGGGTCACTTTCGCTCTCTGCACCACTGGAACAAGTCCTGTCAAAATTGAAGACACAAGCGAAATAATTCGATTGATCTAGAGCGGATGTCGGGGAAAAAATGACTAACCCATATATATACGCTCATTTGAAGATTACAAAGGAACAACACCTAACTTACAAGATAATATAATGCAACATTCTGCGACCTCGAGATTCGTTTTATGTACATCAAAGGACAAAAACTAGTCTTCTCGTCTTATCCACAAGGTGTCGCACATGAATCTTCAATTTTGCCAGGACATGATCAAATGGTGCTGAGAGTGATAGTGAACGTTATCCCTGGAGTATTGTGGATGCCCAATATTTTCATAAGTTTTAAGACGTTTGATTTTGAATAATCAAAACACGACAACGTTTTAAAAACGTAAACAGGCAATTTTGATAACTTAAAATACACATGCATATGCTTCTACCACTTTTCATCATTAAGCATTCATTATGTTGGGTGATAACTTGCAACCATTTACGTGCTAAAATCAACTATGCATATTTTTATGAAAATACATTTTGGAGACGACAGTTTGGAAATAGTGCCTTAAATCAACAGACGTAAAATTGTTATTTATTTATTCATTATTGTGAATGTCTCCTGCATTACACACAAACCATATATTCATATGTATGTCATTTATCTTGCTATGATTTGTCATTTCAAGTCGATTGTATTGATGTATGATTAGACACGTGTTATTTATTTTTATTTTGTGTGTATAGTTTAAATATGTATTGAAAAAAGAACCATGTGTCAAATGTACTGTTAATGTGCTTATACTCACATTCCACACATTCCATTTATGTCTCATTTTAGCTATGACTTTAGCTATGGTTATTTCGATGTAGGAAGAGAAGCCCTTTCTAATGTAGGTGAAACACATTGATGTTATTTACATTACAAATTTCACTGAAATTATCATCAGTGGGAGAGTTATTCCTCTTTCTATTACTTACCAGCTTTACCCGAACAAAATGTTTACATAGATGTACAAATGGTGTCTGCAGGTTTAGATACACATGTAATGTGATTGGTGAAGCATTGTCTTTTCTAAACCACAAATTAAGATTCGTCTTTGAATGAGGGAGTGTTCGCTAGCTTACATGGTATTTGGTTCTCACGGGCATTATTTAGTTGCTTAAGTACACGTAGAGCAATCTATGACTTGATAACTTTTAATTTGAAATGCTATATATTTCATACAAGTTCTGGTGCAAGGTGATGACGATAGCGTTACCGAAACATTGCATTTATTTGGTAAAATATAAGGACTAATATGTAACTTAAATGTATACATTTCTCAACATGGTACATATGCATTACGATTATCAGGACGTCAAGTATTAACAAATGCGACTTTCCTAAGATTGTTTATTATTTTTCATCTTTCTTGGTTATGTTATAATTTGCATGTATAATTCTTTATACTGTAAATTACATGTAAGTTAAATGTAAACAAAGAGGAATCCTACAAGGAAATTCTCTGGTTATCTATGGAAGTATAATTGCAATAGGTATCAGGTTGTGTTAGAAACTTTATACAATTTTTGGTTTGCTGTTTTTCAGGAAGCTGAGAAACGAAATGATCTGTACTGGCGTGTTTGTGTCCTCGTGGAAGACACGTTTACGTTATTGCTCTTTATTATATGCAACAATTTTTTAAGTGATTTTTTCAACAAATATGGACACATTTTGTTTTGTTTTGTTATGATGTATTTAATGCTGAATTCGAATTCGAATTCTATCGTCATGTTGATGACCAGATGACATAATTATAGAATGTATCCAGATATAGACTGATTTCATGGAAGTGAATGAAAGAAAGGAAAAAATGAGCAAAAAGATCGATATATTACGTATTTCTAAAGACGAAAAGTATTTTACAGAGAACTACCTGCAATTCATGGAACAAATAAAATGAGAAAAAATTATAGAATTACGAGATATGTGATATGTGCGTAATCGGTACTGAAATCGATTTGACAAAAACAAACTCTTAATTTATTATAAAAAAGCAGAGATGTAGCGTGAGGGGAAGACTTCATCGTCAGGGATAAGCCAAACCACGCTTGTCTATTTCATTATAGATTTATATGCAGCTCTTTAACCAGAAGGGTGGTATAAACTGTAGATATTTAAATAGAGTTCTTTGTATTTTGATATGTACATCTTTATTTATTTTAATTTGTCTATAGAAAAGTGTGTTTGTATCTATACAGTGCCTTATATATATATTCTTAGGTCTTAGGTCAGTATTTAACTGGTTGTTTCTATATTACCTATTTTGTATCAAAGATGTTGTGGACAGCTTTATATTATCATATTGGTATCTTTATTATACAGGAGGTAGTTTTTAATTATATTTGTTTATTTTTCTACGTATAATATCACGAAATTAAAGCATGATGTACAACTGTGCAATAAAATACATGCGCAAAATTGAGTTTCTTTGTATCTTGTAAACAGCTCCTATTCTATATATAAAGTATATCAATTTATAATTTACCTTCTTTACCGTTTCTAGTGGATATATACATTGCTATTTAAAGACAAGACATCAATATATCTGAAGGTAAAATTAAACGACTTTGCAAGGTCTTTGTGACATGTTTTTATAAGCTCTTCAAGTAATTCTGCCTCGTTTGAAGTATGAAAACAAAAACAAGCCAGCCAACAGAGGGTCGCAGTTGAGTTCCCATATTATGTCAATAGTCTGTTGGAATTCTTATCGCCAAACCCGACAAGAAAAATGTCAACCGGAAACTATAATTTTTATGGTTTCGTCCTCCATATATTTCTTCTTTGATTTGGATTTAATTTCTACGAAATTCGCTTCACTAAAGTTAACAGCCATATATGTATACCGCCGTTCACCTTTCTTGGTAAAGAAAGCTCTCATAACAAGAGAATGAAGGCATTCCTTCAGTTTATAAAGGATTATGGTGGTGTACAAGGTGGAAAACTCAAATGTTCCTATAGAAGAAACGTTTTTTAGAAAAGGGTGTTGAATATTGGTCAAAAGCTTTTTGGAAATCTTCAAAATCCACATACTTTTAATTCCACTTCTTGAGTAAACAGTATCAAAATAAGACTAAACCAGATTGTTATTCTGAAGCATGATTAGGTAGTATTTCGTCTTTTGAAAGATTGCATAATGTATAGGTGGGCTTTTTCCGTTCGTAATCATGCAAGCCAAGTTCTTTTTTATACAGTAAATGTAATAATGTTTGAAGACAAGGATCAAGATATTAGATGCATTTTCTGCAGGCACAATAATATACCTGTCATGTAAATCTTGATGGAAATGGTTTAAAGATGATTATATCACATCATATTTACATTTCGAGGAACCTCCATTGTATTCACAGGAGTAGACTTTGTAGGGGTCTGGATCACAGGACAATAACACGACGTTATTTTGTGGCCCTGTTAACTGACGTTATGTGAATGCTTTGCACCGCGCTTTAGATAACATGCATTATAACTTTACGTAATTCATTTAGCTAATCAAAATTTTCAAAAAGCTTCTCCAGTATGTAAACATACAAAGAGAAAAAAGAACAATTTAAGCTTTGGAAAATGGCATGATACTGTTTTAAATAATATCTGAAATGCAATGTACAACTATTGGACGTCTGTCAGACTGTAGGACGTCATGATTATTTATCTGGTTCCCAGACTGCATTTATATTGACAATACATATAATCTGACCGACGTTCAATCGTCTAATTCTTTTATAAAGCAACGGGTTCTGTATCAGTAAATTTTGTATTGGACACAAAAGAAAATTTGTATACAACGGAAAGATTGGACAAAAAAAAAAATCATTCAAAAGCAAACCATTAAAGTTTACAGCTAGTACCGTATAAGATAAATGGTAAAACGGTTGATCCCAGTCGGAAATCGATCATACTATCTATCTATCTGTAAACCTTCGTATCATCGCGGATAAAATTGATTTAAATCGCTGAATTAAGGATATATGAGAGTATTTGTCTTCAGCAACGTTTCATTTTTGCAAGGTTAAAACAAAATAAGCCAGGGTGATCCTGTAAAATAAATCATCAGATCTATTTCATCGATATGATTGTCACGGAAACAATTATCATCATACGCCTACCTAAAACTAGGACACGTTCTAGGGATCACTAACCAGTAACGCCCTATGTTACATTAAACTTATTATCATACCTGGGAAATAATGCAAGTAGACACGATTACGTTTTATCACAATTTTGAGCCGACTGAAACTGTATATATTCAAGCTCTGATTCCTCGTATAGCATTACCTAAGTACGTAAGGATACCAAATATGAATTTGTATTTAAAGGTTTTATTTCTGCCACGCAATGTCAGCTAAAAATACCCCCCCACTCCTCAGCTATTTTAAATAATTTGTACCGAAATGTACTTAATTCGAATGAAAGTGCGTTACATTCGTAAGTGCTTCAATCTTGCATATGATAGAGGTTACATACAGATATTTTTGTTTGTATTTTTAAAAGAATATTAATAAAATGATAGTACAGTGTATATAGCTTAGGATTAACAGATTTGAAGTCTGAATTTTTCTAAATTTCTTGAGAAAGAATTAGAAGAACCCGTTTAAAACAACTTACACCTTTCTGTTATCATTTTTATCTTGGTATTAACTCGAAACAATGCAAAATGTTTTATAATTTCTAGGTGATGATGCAAAATATTCTAAACGCAAGACAAGTACTTTAATAACTGTTGATGTGATGCAATGAATTTTGATGTAGGACGGTATTACTCAAATTGGCAATGAACTATAGTCATTTCCTCAGTTTATGTATTAATTATGGTGGAGCACATATCGGAAACACAAATATATATGAGATCAGGGTAATTGAAGATATAATACTCCATATTGTAGTATTTTTATACCCGAATATCTGTATGTACATGTAATACGATAATAAACTGCGGTTTATCTCACATGGAATGGAAATGTCATTAAATATTTTAAAGAATATCTTAATTGTCCAAACAGACCTGATGATGAAACATTGTGTAACGACTCCCAATTAAGGTTTAGAATTCATTTAACGAGCTAGGTTTGTATTTGATAATTGCTGAAAATTGAAATAAATGAACTTCATTTGATGTAATTCGTCTTTTGAAAAAATGGACAAAGCTTACTTTTTGCTACCTGGAAAAATAGCTATTTTTGTCAGCAGTAAATATTGAAGGACCGACAAACAAGTCAAATATTGTGGTTTAGACCTCATGTTAACGAATGTAAGATGGAGTTATATGTTAATATTTTTCGCCAGATAGCCCAAGTGAGAGTAACTCCCTGAAGCATGATGTTGATTTAATCATTATCAGAGGAAGAATTGTGATATCTAACGGGTACAGTGTTTCAAAAATAGTGTAAAATATGTTTAATTGTATATGCATTTTAATTATAAAATATAATTAATTAATTAAATGATTGAATCAAGTAAAACTATGGTAAAGTTTTTTATAGACTGTACAATAGGCACACATGTGTATAGTAAAATTTAGATTCAGTTACAATAGAGTCAAACAATGAAGTAAACTGCATCATACAGTTGTTTCGTCCTTCTAGGACTTATCAGTGATGCTGAGGGCCTAGATTTTGAAGCCTAGGAGGCGACTAAAGAAAATCCAAAGTGATCGGAGAAAAGTAAAAATCTTGACGGGGATCTGCAGCAGCCCCATAATTAAATCATTTTTGTATTTCTTCATATATCAGATGTATTCTTAAATAACGTCATGTACATGTGTATATTATGAACCGTGCCACTATTCGAATGAATTGAAAAAAAGATAGAATTGACCATGAGCGTAAATGTTTTTCATCACACCATCAACTTAAACGTTATTGTTTCCTTGACAAACAACGTGTTGCAAATTGCCTTTACATTTTGTTGGCGTTAACTCTGTTATGAGGAAAGTTTCGTACCGTACAGGCAAAAACCAGCTGCGCGTGGAATGTGGTGCCCAGAACGACGGTCAGTACTGCCACTTAATTTAATAAAAACGTGTCATAATCGTTAGCGGCAACTATTGACCGTTCTATGTACGTCTCTTTTTCTTATTCTAATTCATGCACAGATACTTAACCGAAAATTACTAACACTTCCGACCAAAGAGTACGAATGCCATACAAAAGTTATGTTCAAATTCATCACGGGGATTCAGCAAAGGATTTTGCAGCACAAATTAGCGAATGACATATTTTTATACAAAATTAGAATGAGATGCTGTATAGACAAATAATGAATCGATTAAAATATGTAGCAGCTTCATCATTCTAAGAGCCTCGTTGGTAGTGATTTCAACAGCCAAACTTGATGAAAACCTGGAGGCGAATGCAGAAATTAAGAAGGGAAATAATGGCATAATATATATGTATATATTTATATATATATCTGTGTATATGTGTGTTGTGTTTGTGTTTTCCTTTTTCTGTTCATATTTTGTCCCCGTTCTACTGATTAAGGTAAGATTTTGTAAATACATACTGGTATGTCCGGTTGTATATATAGAATAGATAAGTAATTCTCGAAAGGTTTCTCGATGTGTGTAGAGGGTATCAGACTGTTTCCCATTGTTAACAGCCAACAATTGAGTTTTATTTATACATATAGATAGAATACATAAAGTATCCTTACATACGTGTGTTCAACAGTATTTTCAGACGTTACAAATTAGGAATTTAAAGGGTGTGATATATGAGGACATTGGAATCATGCCATTGTGGCAGAATTGGCTTTATGCGTATAATTTGTCAATCAAGTATCTCTTAAAATATATGAATGTCATAGAGAGTGGACTGTGCGAAGACTTGGATATGTAATAGGAAAATAAAACGTTTATGCAAGAGGAAATATGTTAAAGATATCAAATCTTAATTATTCCTTTACATTACACATGGGGAATATTGCCGTTGGAACTTTGAAGCAACCTTAAAGACCTATTCACGAAACACATGCATCATACTGCTTGATACATGAACGGGATACTTTCTCCATATTGTAAGTGCTGCTTCATTCGGCAAATGCATGACAAAATTGAACAGTCAGAAGGACAAAAAGTAATGGTGCCTGATATTCTATCATGCATTTTAAATGATCCATTGCTGCCAATTTGAGAAGGATCAGTGTGAAAAGTTGTTAGATATCTCTTTCTCACCATAAAAGTTACATCCGAAGGGATTAATACTTCTACAGAAAATCTGGGAGCCATTTTCAAATACATTTGCATGCGTTATAAACGATCGCATTGTATCACCCTCAGTAGCATTTCAAGTTGAATGTAATTACCTCTTGTGTTAAGGTCAAATAAGCATTCACATTACAATGGACAATTACTCGAAAATCGAGATATCGACATTTCATGTTTTTTGAAGTCCTTGGTGTGCAATTTTCAACATTTTACAGATGGAAAATGCCAATTACAAATACATCCGTAATATAAACGTGTGCTTGTAGTTTCCCCTATTTGTTGATATGGATTTTAAATTTGAGCTGTATTGTGGTATTATAACATATGTCATAATTTGGGACTCATAACCGAAGTGAATGTCTTATAAAACATCAATGTTCTATACCTCATCAAGATATATTAACAAACCTAATTATAAAACCTGACTTTTTAAAATTCTTTATCAATTTCATTATTCACTTCGAACGTTTGCAGGTTATCAATCTTAACATATATACGTATAAAATGAATGTTCACTGTGATAATGCCCTCATTGAGAAATCTATTTAAGAACACGTGTATTGCACATATTGTCCCATAAATATCAATTAAGAGTGTTATGGTGTCAGGACCATTGGAGCGAGACATCTTCCATACAGCGTTTGTAAGAACGGGAATAGAAGAAGAGTGAGAAACCCCACTTCCAAGTCATGAAGCACCACACCAACGTCAGGTAATAGCCATCATCATGTATCTGAAGTCCTGAAAAGATGAATGATGATGTCCCTTTGAAATATATACGAAAAGAATCATGAATATAGTATAGTCAGCATCATTCATATAGAAAATTTAGCGATTTGCTAGTATTACCGAAACACTGTTTCTATTAAAGATGCAGACAAAGTGGTTAAATAAAAGTTTAAAGGTGTCAAAATGTGAAAATATATGTCATGGTTATATAATAACAAAATGATACCCTTACACCTGTTAGGATTTTGTATGTTTACAATGTACCTCGTATCTCCCCAGATGGAGACATTACTATCAGATACAAATGTTACTTGTAGGTGTCATAATGTGTTGATTACTTTTTCTGCCGATACAGTAAGGATACCCGTCTAAATGAATGTACCTGGAAAATATTCGATTTCGCAAACTGTGTGTTCTTTTAACAAAAGTACTTCTATTTACACACACCCTACCTTGTTTTCCGACGATAGCCAAGGTAAGGTACACGGCAAATCCGCAAATCCCCATCAACTGGGAAAAACACCCAATCAACATCCAGATTTTCAGTCTGTTATTTGTCTTGTCGAACACTCCTCTCATGCTGTTGATATGCACAAATAAAGCTGCAGCGGCTATGATACCTTTACAAGATGAAAACAAAAAACGTCTTAATGCTCTAAATCCTATGACTATATCAAGAGTATGATAGGAATTATGAGCGGGAAACCGTATGAGATACATATACGCCATTAACGATATCTTACAATGTACGTGTAAATTAAGACTTCCAATATCTATGAAGCTTTTGACTATCTATTTCTTTGTTCGTTTTAGAAACAAGTAAAACTGACATTATCGTTGCTGGAGATCACAGGGACCTCTGGCACAGTTTACATTTTTATAAGTAGAATATTTGTCAGATTGCTCTTTCTGTTACAATGAACAAAAATCTACCTATGATAATATCATATTGTCCAACAAGCATTTGTAACAGATTATTTGTTTATCTCTACATCTTCTCAAACCCAAATATAATGTTTTCTATATATCCTCACGAGACAATAGTCATGGCCATTCTGTGTCTACGTTCACCTCCCAAAATTATCTTATATATATGCATGTCCATACACGTGTCGATGTCTTCATCACGAAAGATTGATAACACGTGTTTGTTTATCACTGTGACTGTTTCGGTAAGAGTAGCGAACTGTTTGAGCTGTAAGATAAAGATGATGGGCTATATGCCTTTCTTCTTTCCTTCACAAGAAATAAAGTTTTCTTTATATATCACTTACATTTAATTGATGATACCTACCCGACAACAGTCCCCAACCGGCGGCATTCCAGTTATGATATTGCAGGCCGAACACACAGAAAACGGACAGACCGACGAGTACCCCAACTGTCGCTATGAAAATTCTTAGACGGATCCATATTACTGGAACATCTTCCATACTTAGTTAAGATGTTTTCCACAAAATTGTACCTGTAGATATTTAAACATTCACCGTACTTTATATAACAACTGTCACGAGTTTGTGATGTTTCATCTCGTGTACATGTGTACCTGAAATCTCAGCGTGTCTGCGTGTGTCCGATAACATATCTCTCTAACCCCAAGTTCATTGTTGATATGTACTTCTTGTGAACCTGTAGTATGAAGATGTAGTATTAAAACTTCAACGAAACGACAACGTTAGTCCTTGCTTGTGTGTCTTTAAATATCACTTTATTGGATGATTAACTAATTGCTTGCCATATAAATTAGTTGATCCCTAATAATTCTTCCAATCAAGTAACGTTTTAATTTCACGGACATTTAGCACAGTAGTATTAAGGATCTCAACACATCACTTCATCGATAGGGACATACACGTAACATGTAGAAAGGCGTATCAATATTTGAGAACGCAGAACTCATGATTCTAAAACAGGGTCATTACAAACTTTTGCGATTAACCCATCACTTTCGAAAATTTAATCGGAAATGTCACGAAGGACAGAAATAGAAAACATTTTTGCAGTTTTAGCACCCGTCACAATCAAAATAGGACAACAATAATCTAACCAGTGAAGCAAAAATCCAAAACTCCGTTTTATTGATGCTCTGTTACGTAACATTTTGAGATAAAAGAACATGGTCATATTACTTGGTATCGGTTTCGACCAGTGGTATGACACATGCCTTCCATGTCGCTTCTATCGCATAATTACTGTCTGATCCACAAGTAACGGCGATTCGAAATCCTTCTTGAGTGACATTGTCAATGGTTGGCGTCATATGGCTCACAACAGCTCTTGACGGGATGTGGAACAACGAAGCGGAAGCTGACATAGAAGGTAGCGCATGGAACGGATGACGGAAATGGATCTCATTTGTTCCTGCTGGACAGAGGTTGTGGATGGAGCCGGTCGTGCCTATAGTATACATTTATTGAATTTGTTTTTATTTTTGAAAGCATGCCTAATGATAACTAAATACCAGGAGAAGAAAAATATTAACATTTGATTAATACTAATTTGCTCAGAAAAATATACAAAATAATAAGCAATGAGACAAAATCTAGTGTTTCTCTAAAATGAAACATGGGTATGTACGACTCGTTTTTAAGTTACTAAAACCTATACCCATAATCTTTCGGTGTGTTAGTGTTTACAACACTGGATCACTTTACGGCATCATTTGCCGTGAAGTGTCATCCGGGCATTTGAAAAACCAGTCTAGAAACATTAAAACATTTGTAGTTAAGCGAATGAAAAAAACAAAAACAAAAATTTGGAATGGCCTATAGAATTGATTTTTGGTTTTAAACAGTTCCTTGTTCAAATTTCCATGCTGAATGGTATTCAAGCAATCTACGTTCGATTGTCATAGGTAACGTATAATAATAATTACAATTAATCTTAAAAAAAAATAATTGCTTTGAAAGATGTTTTAGATAAAATACTTGATTAGGCATGTTATTATTTCACATATGATGAAAAGTGATATACTTACAGGGAAGTTGAACTGTGTCTGAAAAACATATTCAACACCTCTTTGAAGCATTAATATGTACTTTCATTGCCATCAATACGTTTTTTTTCATATTTTACTTCGTTTTATCGGTGTTGATTTTGTTGATAAACTTTTGGGCTCTTACTTTGTAATACAGATCAACATACACAATAAATGCAATAAGCCAATATGTCACAGGTTGACATATACATAACGCAGAAATAACCAAGAATTACATGGCGGATGTCATTGATAAGGCAGAAGAACCCTTCAGGGACCTGGTTTTAGCATCCTTGTATTTTGTCAGAGGTATTCATGTAAGTCTTTCTTTTGTACTTGTTTTGGCAAAGTTTTATCGGGTTTTTGTTTTCTGTTTTTCATAACTGTAAACAAAGGTCCGAATAAAACTGTGCGTTTGAATGCTAAGTAATGACTTTTGAGACTTAACCCAAAACTACCAAAAATCCGAAAAAAAATACCTGCCAGCCAGCCAAGAAGACTTGAGATAAAATGCTGCTGTTGCCCGAGCGTGCTGGACAACACTTTAATAGATGCTTGCTGACTCTGGATTTTATCATCTAAAGATGAAGCAGTAGTTGACAATGTGGTTTTCTCGGACGTTAGGTTTTGGACGATGATTTGCTGTCTATTAAGATCCTGTTTTAGTTGGTGTATTTGTGACGTCAAATCATTCAAAATGGCATCCTTTGAATTTAATTGCTGCTCTTGATCATTAAGTTTTTGTTGAAGAGTTTGAATTGTCCTGTCATGATCTGATAGTTTATCGTCACTCGCAATGTTATGAGCTTTTATGTTATTCATGTCAGTCAACAAAATTTGATATCCCTGACCTAAGTTGGACAGTTGTGATGATAAGCGAGAGATATTACAAGTACATGTCGTTGACTGAGTGTGAGCAGATGTTATATTTCCGAAAATGGTATGCAGGTCAGAATTCTGTAAAGCTAGTTTAAGTTCATGTGCAGCAGGTATTGATATCAACTCCTCCAACAGATTATATGTTCCTGACACTTGCCTGGATATACTTTTGGTTACAGATGAAAGATTACTGGTCACTGACTCCTGTTTGTGTAAATTGAGGTATATGTCATCAATATTTTGAGAAATGTTTTGTAGTTCCGGTGAATGTAATCCAGCATTGCCAATGTTAATGTCCTGTGGGCAAGAGCAGGAGGTTCGATTTTTAATCAGATCGGTAATTGATGCGTCAGTTCTTGACAGGTGTGTATTTAAATCGGCAATTTCTCCACCGATCTTCGCCATTGTCTGTTCCTGATTAGCATCATGGTCTCGGAGATTATTCAGATCTCTAAATATGCCGTTGTATACTTCAGTAGGAATAGGCTCAGGTTGCTGGTTATCGACAATAAAACGCTTGTTGTAGGAGGACTCAATGCATCCAGACAAACAGACAAAAATATACACGTAAAATACTACCCTCATCATAATGGACACACTTTCAATACTATATATACATATAATGGATCTTATCTACTGATAATATAAACTATGTACACATTCAAAAGCGCAAAGAAGATAAGACAAATATGTGTACCGTAGATAATATCTCCAAAAATGACGGACGGCGGGCAAGTAAGATGAATAGATTAATTCTATGATACGTTCATTGTTTCAATATCTAAATTTACCATCACATGATATTTTGTATTCAGGATAACGGGTTATGGATAATCAAATAAGCCTACGGTTCCATAAAACTAGGGCAAAATATGAACAAAAGAAAGATATACACGGAGACTCCTGAAAAAGTAGAATGAGAAAAAAACAAGGTGTTCCAGAAGAGTAAGCGACTTCTGCTCCATTGACGACACCCTGCATGTAAATCTTGGCAAATCCGAGAAAATAATGTCACATTCTCAAATGAGAACAAGGTATACAACAACGGAACCAACAGGCGAACTAACGAGCATCAAATACGTCCAGCTTCATGTCGCACAAAGAAATATATTTCTCAATGAGATCACTATGGTGAACATAAATCTTCCCTATAATTTTCATCAACCTGCATCTTTTGAGCCCTTGTGTAACGAGTTTGTCAGTTAGTTGATGACTTCTTGCACGAGAATAATGATTATGGGAACTATGATATGTAAAGGTTGGATATGCGGGGATATTGCTATCCGGAAATGGAAAATTCAAAATAGGGAAATTGAAGTCATCACGTTAACCATACAGCTTCGTGCAAAGATGTTTATTTTGGTTTCGTTGTAGGAAAAGATCGTGATAAGCAGCTGAAGTAGAAGAATCTGTGTGGCAAACTGATGGCTATAACGACCGTATAACGTCTCCATAATTTTCCTAGAGGCAAGGGGGTGGTTACTACTTTTGATCGTGAGTAATCTGTGTCTTGACTATAAGGGAAATTTTACAGAAGATCTTATCATTAAACCTTTTATATAAGAGTATGACAAATGGATTTTGTATTCGCTGTTACTCATACAGTTTACGGAAATGAACATGAAAACTTGGCGTTTGTCTGTCAAGTTATAGACATCATGCCATGGTTATTTGCATCAATCATTCACAATGACTCGATATTTGAATGTATCCACACAGTATGAAAACTCCGGAATCGTAACTTGCGAATGTCGTATTACCTAGTACACAACATTAAAATAGATATTTTCCATTATTCATCTACAAAAAAAAAATAAAAATTTGTTTGGTATACTGCATCATTTAGGTTCCTACTGACTACTTCATTTGTAGTATGAAATCATTTGGTATTTGTCACATAATATCGATTATTCCTATCTTAAATTTCTGACAACACAACCGGTAGATTTGAGTGTGACGCTTTGATGACTGCACTGTCACCTTCATCAAACAAAAGACGAGTGTGAAGTGTACTAGCGCTGACATACGTCGTGTACGAGATGGTAAAGAAATAACCGATATTTTCGACTATGTTATAACATCCTTTGTACAACAAGGTGAATAAGTGTGACGAGATAGTAGAAAGATTGTAGAAAAAGACAAAGTTGTAACAATGTACTTCAATTCGGCTATATTTTGTTTATTATTTTGTTGAAAGAACTTTATATCATTAACATAGCCGACCTCAAGTAAGTGTTACGAAATGCGAAATACACTGAGTTTCTATCCTAGTCTATGGAATCGGGATGTTTTGATCGATAAGGAAATATAAAGATATAATATAAAGACAGTGTATATGTAAAATTTTATCTCGAAGTTTCTTGGCTAAGAAACAAGAGGACCTGTGTAGATATCATTTTCGAACGTACGTGCTTGTAATACAGAATAAAACATATGATAGATTATAGTTTCGAGACAAAGAAGTTACCCAGCGATTCTAGTAAATGAACAGACTCACATATTTTTGACAAGAAATAGAGCATAATACATGTAGATGCAGTTATCATTGTCCAAAATTGTTGGAACGTGAGAGATTAA